CTGAAATATGTAATCTATAAAAATAACTAGACATGGTAGATACATCCAAAGTGAACAGACACTTCCCTGTAAATTAGAAAAAGGGCTGTATTATTTATATTGTTCTGCACAAAAATATAAATAGCGAGAGAATATTTTAAAATACGAACAAATTGTTTGCAAAAAATAACTATTGAAATCAACATTGCTCACAGATGCTATTATGGATGATGAAACCAGTTTAAATCTAAATACCAACGCAGTAAAATTAAAATACAGTTGTACAAGACCTTAGTAAGACCTATAGTGTTGTATGGAAGTGAGTGTTGGATACTGAATAAAGCAGATGAGAGTAGAGTAATGACATATGAATGAAATGGAATGTGGAGAATAAGATATAATTTTGAACTACAGCAAGAATTTAGAGAACTAAGTATTGTAAAAGTTATTAAAGGCCTCTCAGTTAAGATGACTAGGCCATATATATACATATGGATATGAAAACACAGTGAAGAAATTGACATTCCAAAAGTCAGAGGGAAAGAGAAGAAGAAGAAAGCGATGGATGAGGTGTCTACATGACGTGGAGAAGTAGTAGATAAAGAACATTGGTGTCAATAAGTGGAGGATTGTGCCGTTGGATGGGTCTTGTCCAGGAATTGGTTGTGAAGTGTTAAGAAGAAGAAAAAGCAATTGTTTACTTGCATTATTCTAAGGCTTCTTTGCAGTAGCAAAATTCTGAATCTGAGAAATGTGTATAAACCTGCTGGTTGCTTTTGACTCAACTGAAGGCCTCGGAAATGAGTTCAGAAGTCATTTAGCAGTTCATCATTAAGCTTAACTAAATCAGTCAACATTCATTTATATCAGAAGTGAATTGTGTTACAAAATAATGAATTTTCACAACATACAAAATAACACCAAACACTTTCAAAAGTGGTGAAGGGTCAACTGATTTGTGTATATAAAATGCAAGATTTTACTTCTGTATACAAATTATTAAGTTTATCTGTGAAAGCAGTTTTGTATACCAGAGGTAAGATATGAACAAATTGAATATAGTAGCATTATATATCACTTGAGCAATTAAATACCCACAAAGTGTCATGCAAATGAGTAGAGTTAAAAAAGATATTTCAGTGTTTTAATGTTCATGTTATTCATTTTAAAATATTCATTTAAATTTAAAATAAAGTCAGATTTTTTTTTAAAAAAGGACTTCACAACAAGAAAGAAAAAGCTTATTTCATATTTATTATCATATTTTTAGTAAACTTTCTTTTCTCCAGTTAAATAATATTCTGCATTCAATCACAATATTTAAAGTTATTTTTATCTGCTTGTAAAAATTAGCTTTTTTATAGTTAATAGAGCTCTGGTTGTAATTGTGTATGCTAAATGTGCTAACCTGTTCATTTCACAATCAGAGTACCCAAGCCATGATGCCATTGCAAAATAAGAGGGATGAATGAATAGCAGTTTAATAACTTTCACTTGAATATTTACATTTATTTTTTTTTTGTCAATGGGCTAATTTTTTTAAGGAAGAACAGAATGTAACAGTGCAAAATGGTAAGATAAATATTAGCAATATGGCCCATCACTACATAAATTAATTCCTGAAGCATGGATTGCAGCCTCTGAAGTAATCTAAAAATAATATAGTAAAACTAAATTTCTTTTTATTTAATTTGTAAATTTTTCTGCTTATTTTACATTTAACTAAATAGTAAAATTTTTCATAAGGTTATATGTATCATTAGAGTTGCCATTTCTATCACAAGTTAGACACAGTGCCAATGTTTGCGTTTGGCGTAAAGTAGCACTCAATTGATCTAAAAGCGACAATTTTTTTAAGTAATGTGGATATACGTACACTATTTTATAATATATTTCTACATTTATAAAAAATTAAATTCACATTTAAAATTAGCTCACACAATGTAAAAAATAGAAAAAGAAAATTATTGAATTCCTTAGAGTGTCTAGATTAAAAATTACACTCATGCTAAAAAAATAAGCAACAAACACTGAAAAGGTATTAATGTAAAAAGGGAAATATAAAACATACAATTTACACATGAGGTAGAAGCTGCATAGCCTAATGCAAATAGACAACCAAAATTAGCATAAAATGCAATCCCGCAATCACACAACAATGCTGGCTAGATCCAGGGACACGCTACTGACCTCTAAAAATTGTCGAAAAAGCTCATTGCAAAGAATGAATCTTACTTGTCTGGGCTGAAATAGAAAGGAATGTCCCCGTCCAATCTCTACATGTTTCTACAATCTGAGATAGTCAAGCATGAGCCGAAGATACCATCTGCACAATGAAATGCATTGGAGAGTGGTCAGGATGTTGCAAGCTGGTGGAAGACGATCCGTTGTTGTAAGAGTTTGCATGGCAGTATCATGAGTAGAAGATGTGGGTCTAGATATCAAAGGATTATCACAACAGCAGACGATTGTTTCCTGTTGCTATGTACAAGATGCCGCTGATCACTAAGAGCATGATATCTGACACTGCATCTGTCTGCTGCTGCAGAATGTCCCATATCCCACCAAACTGTGTTGCGTTAACTGCATGAAGAGAGTTTGTATGCCCATTGATCCCATCGCATGTCAGAGTGTGGCTGAACTGGGCCCATGAACATCAGAGTTAGATACCAGAACAGTGGGGACACATACTCTTTATAGCTGAGTCTCAATTTAATATCCCGAATGATTCTAAACGGCAATGATATGATGAGATCCGGGGATGCACTAAACCTTGTCGAAAAGGACCATTGCAGAGGATGAGTCTTACTTGTATGGGCTGGGATAGCAGGGAACAGCCGCATCAAACCTCTACGATTCCTGATGGTTCTGTCACAGCCGTACAATATCACAACCCAATTCTACATGCTCTTGTGCATCCTTTTATCATTGTAATGGGTATCGACATGATATTTATTGATGATAACACCCGCCCACATTCAGCTTGAGTGATGCGGAGTTATATGGAGAGTGAAACCATTCCACATCTGCTCCAATATATGGAACATACAGGATACAAATTAACAGGAAAGAAATTTAAACAAAACAAGTTTTTAGGAAACTTGCTTTTGGCTGGTTTTAAACTCGGGAACTTTTTTTTTTTTTATCTTGCGTCTTACCCACTGAGCCACGATGTTCTCATCTGAAAGACACAATTTTTGTTACATTTCCCCCATATTAGGAAGAAGTTTATTTCCCTCTTATTATTTTCACTTATTAGGAATAAGCAGTGTCCCACTGCAGTCTGGTCTCGCTTCTTAGGCTTCTTGAAAATATTGGGCTGTCTGTCATAGTCTAGTCATCCTTTTGGATCAAAATAGGGCTTTAATCTCAATACATGAACAATGTCATTCCCTCACATGCAAAACAATATGTGAGAAAAGGGCCAAGTCTTGCTATGAAGAGATTTATTAAGAAATTACATCAGATGTGCTCATAGAGGACTTATACATTTTACAATTGCAATTGTTAGATCTGGCACAGATGATTAATATCCTACAAGGGTATCTCTGATATATGAAGATTCTTTTATTTATATTAAAATATCTTCTTTCATGCAAAAGATATTTTGTTTTCCAATCTTCTGTAGGAACCAAATTTTCAGAAATCAAACTCTCAAGAAAAAGGGGAAGTTGCAAAGCTGTCATGTAGTTTGTACTTTTTCAAGCAAATTTGAGTAGTCAGTACTCATCTAAAAACAGTATATTTCATATCTTTGTACAGTCCTGTGAAAAATATAATTTTATATGAAGTGCCAATGACTCAAATTTGGGAGAGGCAGGAAATAAAAAAAGCCATACACTCATCTGATTCTGAATAAGAAAATCAATCTAATCCTTTTCAACCAGCCTAGGCATACAGCACTTAAAGCATGTTTCACATGGGGACTGGTTATACATCAGGGATGAACAAATGCTATTAAGTCAGTCTAGTCTTTCTTTAAAATGACTGTACCTTCAATAAATGAAGCCTTTGTCTTGAGAAACAAAAGTGCAAGGGGTATATTTGACCCAATCATCAATATACTCCTTCTTCTGTATTATTATTAAATGAAACATGTTTTGTACATGTTTCATTTAATAATAATACAGGATTCCATAAAATCTCTATTCTTATAATACTTCATAAATTTATAATATACTGTTCCATAATAATACTCCGTAAAATCTTTATTTTTATATTCCATATCCCAAATACTTATCCACAAATCTTGATACAAATATTAAAATTGATCAAATTACATATATATTCAAAATAAAAAATCATGTAATTATTGTATTAAAATGCTAAAAAAAATAATTAAATATGTCTTTTTTTTCTGTATTAAAATTTTATTATTACTGGATTCTTATTAGGAAATTTTCTTTCTATACATAAATGATTTAATAATCATATATCTTCCAATCTTATAGTATTTTCATTAAAATCAAAATAAAACTTTGTAAAATTTAATAATACAAAAAGTTATTAATTAAAAAAAAAAGTGACGGCTTTCAGATTTTATATTACACCCAGAAGGACATTTTTTAAACATTTTCTGTGTTACCTTTATTTAATAAATTTCATGTTCTTCGCACTTATACCACATAAAATTCAATTCAACAGCAATATCACAGAATATTCGAAAACAGCATATCTTCAGAATTTCTGACAGACAGTCTCACATGCTGAACATAAAAATGTTTTCTTCTATACAATGTTCCCATTGCTTGCTTTAAAATCATTCAGTATGTTAACCGAAAATTAGTTAATCTTTTATATAATTTGAATTAGATAATAAAACAAATTCAAAATTCAGGCTTTCAAGTGCCCATGTTTGGTTGGAGGACTATTAAAATTTGATGGCTCTAGATACTGTTGTTTTTAATGTGAGAAGCATTCATACATTTATGCAAATTCTTTATTATTATTATAATTCTTTATTATACACATGGTAATAATATTTGGCGGCAACAGTTTGAAAAGTAAAATGACGCAAAATGCCATTTTGAGACTAATAGCCCTTTGGGTCTAATGCCCCTTTGGACTAAAAATAAATTCCATAAATATGTTATAAAAATTCATTCATATAAAATGTTACTGTTTTCTGATAAATTATAACATTTTTTACACACTGAAAAGCTATGATATTGTTCATAAATTTCTTTTTTATGCTAGTGTGGTCAAATAAACATTATGTGCATGCTCATGATTTAAGCATTTTGATCAAATTGTAATTATATAGCTCATATGATTTCCTTGCAGCATGAAAAAGTACTAAATACTATACAGATAACTAAAGGTTCTAACTAACCTAACTCTTCCTCAAGAAACAACAGCCTTATATTCTGTGCAGATAAACATATTTCTTCAGATTCCTCATCTATCCAAATGACTTGTTATACACATAACTACTGCAATTTCTCTCCTACACTCTCCAATTCTTATTTCAATCACTTTCTAGTATTCTATATTTTAACTTTATGAGTTTTTCTTCTGTATGAATGTGCATAAGCTCTAATAACTAACACAGATAAGATTCTTCTTCTGTGTGAATGAGCATATGCTTATTTAAATTACCCCTCTGCCTAAATAACTTATTGCAAACTTTACATGCATGAGGTTTCTCTCCCGAGTGAATACGCATATGCTCCTTTAAACTACCTTTTTGATTAAATGACTTATTACATATGTCACACACATGTGGTTTCTCTCCCGTGTGAATAAGGAAATGCTCTTTTAAACTAGTCCTTTGATTAAATGACTTATTACACATTTCACATACATATGGTTTCTCTCCTGTATGAATAAGCACATGCCTGTTTAAACCGGTTTTCTGATTAAATGATTTATTACATACTTCACACACATATGGTTTATCTCTAAAGTGAATATGGATATGCTCCTTTAAAGTACTGCCATGAGTAAAAGATTTATTACATATTTCACAGATATGTGGTTTTGCTCCTGTGTGAATACGCATATGAATGTTTAAACTATCCTTTCGACTAAATAACCTGTTACATACTTCACACACATGAGATGTATCTCCTGTGTGAATAAGCACATGCTTGTTTAAACTACTCTTTCGACCAAATGATTTGTTACATACTTCACACACATGATTTTTTTCTCCTGTGTGAATAAGCATGTGCATGTTTAAATTGTTTTTATATTTATATGATATATTACATACTTTACACTGATATGGTTTCTCTCCTGTGTGAATAACCATATGTCTCTTTAAACAACTTTTATGTCGAAAGGATTTGTTACATACTTCGCACACTTCAGGTTTCTCTCCTGTGTGCACAAGCATATGCTTGTTTAAAATCTTTTTCATTTTAAATAATTTATTACATACTTGACACTGATAACGTTTTTCTCCATCGTGAATAAGCACATGTTTGTTTAAAGCACTTTTTTCTTTAAATGACTTGTTACGTACCTCACACACATGAGGTTTGTCTCGAGAGTGAATATGCATATGATTGTTTAAACTATCCTTTCGACTAAATGGATAGTTGCATACTTCACAGGGAAGAGGATTCTCTCCTGTGTGAATAAACATATGTATCCTTAAACTACTTATTTGACTAAATGACTTGTTACACACTTCACACACGTAAGGTTCCTCTTCTGTGTGAGTATGCATATGCTTGTTAAAATTACTCTTTTGATTAAATGACTTGTTACATACTTCACACACATGAAGTTTCTGTCCTTTGTGAATTTCCATATGCTCATTTACAGTTCAATTTAGTCTGAATAACTGGTTTCACACACGAGGTTCTTCTGTACGTGTATGCATATGCACTTTTACAATATTATTTTATCTAAATCATTATGTAGAAATTAAAGATTATGACCTTTATAAAAAAATATTAGCTAATAGCCTTGATTATTGTACCTTGCTAGAGACTCACGACAATGTTCATGGTCTGCATTAAATGCAGGTTCTTCGTAGCAGGTATATTTAACCAGCTGTGCGTGCCAGATCAATGAAATAAAAGTGTTCTAGGGTGATGCAGGTGTAAAAGTCCATAAGAAGAAATTTAAAAGTCATGAGGAATAAAGGAAGTGGAGAAAAGCATAATTGGCTTGAAAAGAAAATATTCATATAGCACAGAATTCGAGCGAGTCCCTTATAAATTCCTTGTTATGAAGTGACTGACGTACCAAAAGGTGTATCAAAGAGTCTCTAATAAGGGATCCTTTGAAGAACCGTGCTTGAGAGGTGGCGCCATCTATTAAGATCTGATGCAATTATTCATAGTCATCGCCAGAAATAGTTGAAAGAAAATTAAATGTTCAATTCGTCGATTAATCTAATAAACTGCAAGGCGAGCTAAAGTTTGTCTTCTTGAGGTTTCATACATTTAAGAATCTTTTTTCAAGAATATTTTTTAAAATAGGCAAATTGCAAATTTTGCCGAAAGAAAAACCAGCAAATTTGACAAGAATATTAGTTACTTGTTCAGTCTGTGAAGTAATGTCTGAAGTCATTTATAAAGAACAACATATAAAATCAAGACATGGCGCAGCCGAACCGTAGATTAAAAAAGAAAATCTTTTTTGAAGAACCATGCAGCATTCGGTTTAATCCTAGTATCCGGTGCGCACGGGATTTAGCTACTTTTGGCGACTTTGATGATGAGCAGTAAAAACGGGACATATACGATGAGTAGTAAACGGGTCATTCGAAGAATATATATAGTTATACATAATATAATGATTACAATGTAATAGACTTCGTATAGTGTAAGTATAAATATACGTCTTTGGATCATGTTGGTGTTGGTATTTACAAAATCGCGCCAAGCAAGTCAAATACCTTGGTGTTATTTTAGACCAAAAACTCACCTAGGCCTCACACGTTACATATATCTTGAATAAATTTCGGGGTACTAAAGCTTTACTCAACCCCCCTAATTTCCCGGAAATTCTGGTTTATCTATAGACAATAAAGTTTTGGTGTATAAATCCATTTTGCGTTTTGCGTCTCATCATTACATACGCCTGTCCTGTCGTGGGGGTATATTTGTGATACGAGAATACTAAAAATTCAACAGACGCAGAATGTCACCCTAAGACAAATGGCAAACTGCCAATGGTTCATACGAAATGAGGCAATTCATAGAGAACTAGACGTTAATAAAATCAGCGTATGCATTGCTAAAATTGCCAAAAAATTCTTTCGTAATATTGAAAAATTTAATAACGTCTCAATTCCTGTTATGGACTACAATATTCAAGATAGAGCAAACAGGAAAAGATCAGGGGTAGTCTTACTCCATTTAAACAGTTAATAAACTTGACGTATTTTTCAATTTAAATTTAATATTCAAAATTATTTCACAGTTTATTTAATCTGCTTAATGTTGTTTTGGCCCCATAATTTTCTGAGTCCTGGATCTTTTTACGTTTTTGTTACCTTATTATTGCTATGTCTAAGAGTTACTTAAATCTTGGCAATTGTGTCGCCATCTAGTAGGCATTACCCATCTAGTAGGCATATTTCTTCCATTACTTTAGTAAATTGTACAACTGTGTCGCCATTTAGTGGCTACCATGGACCTTATAAGAAATAGACTAACCCAATTGCGTTTACAATTTCCCAGCAGGTCAGAGGAATTCATGAAAACAATCA